ATATATATATATATATATATATATATATATATTATTATTTATTATATATATATATATATATATATATATATATATATTTATATTTATGTGGTACTGTTGTAGTACAACTTTTCATTACCTCATGGGATCAGCTCAGAGCTGTGAAGAAGGCAACCCTTCCGATGATCTTCCGAAGGTATCACTTTTCTTTTCGCTTTCATCTTGAAGAAAATCATTTTCCAGTTTTAAAATGGCTGTTCGTATTCGTATAATAATAGAAATTCTTAGTCGTATGAACTACTGTTATTGATTTCATGGAATAGGAGCATTTTATCAAATGTATGACTTGAGAATTTATATTCATAGATCATTGTGTTTCTCATTTTGCAAACCAAAACCTTTGTTATCAGATTAAACCATAATCATTTAAATACATTATGCTTTCTAGAAACTCCTAGTTTCAGGTGATAAAGATTGAACGAAGTGAAATACCGGAAGAATACAAGACAGTCGCGGTATCACACGATGTTGTGGATCAAATTTTGAGTTTGGGAAATTCGGAAAGTGGGAATGTCAACGATTTGAGGTAGTCTTTACTTTTAAATTTTGTTTGAAAAATTTGTTGGAGGTTTTGATTTACTTTTTTTCTTAAATATGGGCTTAACTGCTGATTCACAAGTATTTTAGGAAACAGTTGGCTGAGGAACAAGAACTGAATCGCAAATTGCGTGAACAAGTGAAAAATCTTTCAGAGGCGAAGTTCTCATTACAAAAAACAACAACTGGTTGGTTTTGCATTTACTTATTTTTTCCGTTCCTCTTTGTCTGTCATTTGATTAAGCTCCGTTGCGACGAAAACTTCTTGCATAAAATTAAATACAAAATCGAAAATAGTTGGCGGTGAACATGGCTAACAGTCTTTTTAAAATTAGTTCGGGACTGTATTTAAATACTGGGCAGTTTTATAACTATTTCGTATTCCTTATACATTCACTGAAAAGTCACTGATAGGGAAAATGAAACTTTTAGAACTTATAGTATGTTTGAAGCTGAAACGAAGTCTTTCGTTATTTTAAGAGAAAATCTCAGTAGCTGACTTGCAAGCACGAAAAGATGCATTTGATGAGACAATGGAACGAATTGAAAAACAGTACTTCTCTTATCACCCGGAAAATGTCTGTAAACCGATTGAGACTGTAAGTTATTATTTAGAATTAAGTAGTAGTGCTAAAACAGGTATATTTATTTGTTTTCATTTAACATCTATTAGGATGCTTTCTTCTCATTTGTTTTTTGATTACTAATCAAGTAAAAATTTTCTTTTAGAACTTATTTGAAGTTATGGCGGATTGAATTTCAGTTATCCATCCTTTTCAATTTTTTTATAATCCTTGCATAGTAAATGGCAGAAGATAAGACTGAGGTCATTCATTTTAACTCTTCAGGATTTAATGGAATGCATTATGAAAAATAAAAACAAGTTACTAAATTGTGCATCGTTTGCGGTGGATCTGACGAAATGTACCAGTGATTTCCGTGAAAAAATTTTGAAAGAAGTATCACATTTATAATATGCAAAAAATTATTGTTAATTCGTTTCGAATCCATATTTTTTAGCTTTTGGACCATTTTTTGTTTGTGTTGATTATTTGACCCTGCCATTTTTTTCCATTGTAGTTAAGGTGCTAGCCAAATTATCTCAATACGATTTTATCAATTCACATTTCACTGGTGACATTTTTTTCGTGTATAATACGAACGGATAAAGCAGTCGGTATATAGTGTGAGCTTGAAAGTGAAACTATCTTAAATCATATGGCGTTAAATCTTATTTAGTTTGCAAATTTAAAATAGAAGCACTTGTAAATAAGGCATTTTCTGATGAAATTTTGTGTTTATGCAGGTCGATTTTTGGTTTCTGCAAAATGTTCTTATACATTGTGATAGGTCTGATATTTCATTACTTGCCATATATTCGATACTAATGTGGAATGGGGAAAAACATTACAATTGGCGCGGAATGTTAGTATTTTGAGATGTAGTCAGTAGGAGCTTTAATTCTGTTGAACTTTTAATAAATGTTGGTTCTGCCAAGTTTTATTTCCTCACTAGTTCAAGAAGTTCATTGTTCCTGCTGTTGAATTAATCACTATATTTATTACAGTCGTGTAATTTAATTTGTGTAATACTTTTTCTGAATTTTATATATAGCTGATAGTTTCTATTTCGTGCTCTTTTATGCTTTAGTTTTGGTTTTTCATTCCTTTTTTCTTCAGTCCTGGTATTAATAAAGTTGCTCAGTATTCAGAAACTTGACACATCTTATTGGTCAATAGGTCATCAAATATTCGATTTTTTTCAGTTTGGACTGGAAAGTACTGTAAAGAATATTACAGTCACAATTAAATGCATAGTATATAGTGGATAGATTGAACGGGTTGCTCTCACTACTGTATGCATGATTGCAAACTTTTGCAGTTGAGCTTCACCGGTCATCACAAATCATCACTTTCTAGGTTTGGTAATGATTCGGCGGAGAGAGTATGCATTCATGCTTCCTTGTTCTGAATATTTATGAGGAATGCGATGCAGCTGCAGCAGAATTGTTCCGTTGGCTATATTATTTCTTGGATTTTCTCTGTGGAATTGGCAAGAAGGGACGATACCAGCGGATTTTGGAATACCATATCGCTTCAGACGATACAGGAAAGTTAGAGAGTGGCAAAAATTGTACAACAGATACGTGTCTCTATTTGCCACCATGTTCGCTTCATGATGACCAGCTTACTGTTTTTATCGAACCGTTCATACGGGTCATCGATGAGGTGAATTATTTTTCTGATGAATTTCAGAAGAGAGAAGGAAAGCATAAAGATGAGTCGTTACTGATTAATAAAATATTGTCATGAAATAGAACATGATTTATCACGGGGACAATTCGCGAAATGAGCTGAAATAGACTATTTTGCCTGAAGTTCTGTAATGTTTCAGAGTGGTAGGGATATCACACCGTCACCTTCAAGCGAATATCTCGAGATACGTTCAATCATTGAACGATCCAAGTATAGAGTTGATGCAATTGAAGATGCCTGCCTCGTTCTGCCTGGATTTGATACTCTTAATATTTATCGTTTCAACGACGGTGAATCATCTTTTTCGAAAAATTTTAATGCAGGTGCTCGCCTGAACAACCACAATGTGCTCATATTTGCATTTGCGGGTGCCAGTCTTCTTGATATTAATGCTATTATTGCGAGGTTAGTTCTTACGCGATGAAAACATGTGTAATCTCTAAATTTGTTGTTTGCTTTGCTGCCGAATTCCTCTAAATGTTGATATCTCGGTAGGCACAAGTAGAAGAGAAAAATTGACAGCTTACAGGAAATAGATGATTACTGGATGCTTTTCAAACATTATTCTGGACATTTGAACTGATAGATCTATTTACAGGGCCGGATCTCATCGCAAAACTTTCCGACGCGGCTTTGATTTATCATTGCCTCTATGGAATCCCTATAGTTTGCCATCGTCTTTCTTATCCTCTGTGGAGAAATTTTCATATTTTATCGTTGTGCCGATAAAATTTGCTTCTCATAATGTTAAAGTATTACTTAAAAGCTTGTTTAACAAAAATGATTGCCTTGTCTTGGATAGCTGCGATGTAATAGATGGAAATTCCTTGTGCGACATTCGTGGAAATGCTCATAGCTTGGGTGAAGTTGTCAAGGTTCGGATTTCATATTAAAACCTTTCGTCCAAAAATCAGTGGTAACTGAAGAAATCCTTGTAAATCACATCCCACGTTATTTCTTCATGGGAACATGAAATTCCACTTTATTTGGATATGATGAAGAGACCAAAGGAATTGGTTCTTCTTATAGATCACTAAATAAAGGAAGGAATATCCTCGGGGCTTCGATCTTCAGAAGCTGCGGGATGATTCAGACATATTTGTTTCAAAAATAAAGGTTTTAAAAACTTTCAGGAAAGTCAGTTCACTCTGATTGATGATCGAGTTGCTGGATCTGAATTGCTGTTAATGTTAGCTTTACGCGTCGGCTCTATTCCTGTCATTATCTCAGATTCTATCATCTTGCCCTTTAGTGAAGTGATCAATTGGGATTTGTTAGTTGTTAATTACATTCGAAACTCGTAAACTCGAAATAGATAGTAGACGCAGAGAACTCATATCAGAATCGTCGGGAGAATATCTAGTCATCTGATACACTGTACCATTTGTTATCGGTACACTATGCTATGATATTCCATGGAATCTCTGGAGTAAGAAATTTAACTGTTTTAATTTAATTTGTTCTTTACTCACTTTTGCCTTTTCAGATTATCATTAACATTTTCCCGAAGTCGTTTGTCTTCTGTCCTCACATTCTTGCGAGTTTTATCATCCGAACGAAAACAGCGTATGAGGGAACAAATTTCTTTCGTATATAGTCGTTATTTTTCTTCACTTGAAAAAATTGTCCTTACTACTTTAAGTATCTTGGAGAGGCGTATTATTCCTAATTCGTTTACAACATACGATGAATGGAATTGCAATTCATTAAAGGTAGAATGAATTTTGGAATCTTCAAACTTCAGACTGTTTTCCTAACTTTTGTTTTAATCATATGCTTTGTCCTCTGCTATCTCTGAATAAAAATTCTAAGAACATATTCATGATCCACTGACTTAGCTTATATTTGGTTACAGAGTTGTCTTGTCCCATCGCTCTTCCATCCTTTCCACGCTTCTGCCGAAGGTTTCACGGGTGTTATCTCGACATATAGTAAACTGAGTTCATTGTTTGTCATCATACGATTGCTTGCCAAAGTAGCAAGTTTGCGAAGCATTGTCGTTGTATGGAATCATCCCAGTAAACCTCCTCCAAGTAAGCAGATTTTCTACCCACTAACTTCTTGGCTACTCTCTAAATCTTGCTTAATCACGAAAATTAATCTCGAAGTGGTGATAACATGCAATACATCGAGAAACAAAAAAAAAATTTCTCTATTTCAGGAGTCTAATTTATTCTCAGATAATAAGTAGTGATTTTTTTTGCTCCTTCGCCACAAGTTCTTTCTGTTTTCCTTTTATGTTCTGAAGTTATACGAAACGATTTTTCATTCTATAGTGACTGAGTGGCCACACATTAATCGACCCATTCATGTTATCCATATGGACCAAAATATGTTGACCAATCGATTTATTGTGTTCTCGGAAATAACTACAGATGCAGTATTTTCGCTTGACGAGGACGTAGTTGCTGTGAACGTTGATGAAATCGAATTTGGCTATCAGGTGTCATACCAGTTCCGAAAATTTTCAAGAATTAGGAACTTTGATAGAAATGTCCATAGCTAATAAATAGTGATTTTGACCTAATTCGCTTAATGTGAATTTAAAGACGTGAGAGTGTTGTAGTTTTATATTCGTTATTTCAGACGTGGCGAGAAAATCCAGATCGGTTAGTGGGATTTTTACCACGAGCTGTTGTTTTCAATGAATCTACCAAGTTATATGAGTACCATACAGAATGGGCAAGTTCAATGAATATTATTTTGATGGGAGCCGCGTTTTATCACAAGGTTAAATGAAACCTGTTACTTTCAGCACTATCTTTTTTCGGAATACAAAGAAACGCTGTTCTGGTAGCACTTAATTTTTGTGGAATTCCATTCAAAGTGTGAAGTTTCATTCTTGTTTTAAAATCCAATCAGATTCGTAAAGCTGTGATTCTGATTCTTTAATATTATAATCTCTTTCTGCAGTACTATGGAATGTTATATCACGAGTTATTGCCACCAAAAATAATAGAATATGTGGAAAGGAATAAAAACTGTGAGGATATTGCGATGAATTTTCTGATTAGTAGTGTTACTGGAAAAAGTCCTTTGAAGGTTACACCGCGAGAAAAGTTCGTTTATTCAAGTAAGTATTAATCCTTACCAGATATTACAAGTATAATCATTCTGTGATCGCCCGATAAAAATTATGCAGGTTAAGCTGATTGCTTATTCCATGTATATGTTTGGGCGCATGTTTAAAATGCAGGTAAAGTATTTTATACCCGAAGTGACGGAGAGAGCGTGCAACAAATGCATGGGTAAAACTTACATCAGTGAGTGAATAGCTTTGTTTATCTGTTATGTGTATATGGGATTTAGTTTCAACACTACTAATTTCTTCAGTTTGCCATTTTTATTCGAATTTCGAAAATGTTGAAGTCACTTCGGTGAAAGTGCAAACCGGGAACAATGCTTTTTTTTTTCAGGTCATGTCAACAATGATATATCATCATCATGGAATGCTCAACGTTCCATTTGTATCAACTCATTTATTTCATATTTTGGTTATAACCCACTAGTTACAAGTGTTTCAAGATACGATCCTGTTTTATATAAGATACCTATCGAGGGTATCACTAATCCATATAGTCTGGTCGGACCGCCTTGAAAAGTTGCGTCATATTGTTCTAAATATTGTTATGAATACATCTAAATATGACAATATTAATATGATAATATCTAAACATTGTTATATTGTTCTAGTGTTGTTATTGCTCTTAAAATATGTGCAGTTTGCAGCTTTCACTTCTGATTCCAGTTTCTGCATTTGTTCATTTGATTATATTATTGACCGAAATAAGTCAATTTTATTGAAATAGAGTAATGCATAAATTAGCCTTTCATGATATGGCCGATAATGAAGATTTTAGCAGTTTGCATCATAAATAGAGGAGAGATTTTTCTTATGTCGGAATCGACCGGTAAGGCAAAATTAAAAAATCGAAAAACCTCAAATAGGGCATCGAGTAAATTGATCACGATAGTATCTCATTCCTTCTTAACTGCAATGCCAGCATGCTGCTTGATTAATGATATTCTTTAGAATTTGCAGTTTTTTTTTCAGACATTATAATAACTTGTAGAAAAGTTGCTTTGGAAACTTTCTTACGTATTACTGATTATGTTTTCTACATAAAGATTGTGGTGCTAAGCTTTATACATCATCTTATACCCATCACTCTGCCTCTGCTTCACATTGTTTTATATCATTTTGTCGGGTTTGTTTATTATTTCTTGAAATTGATGAGGCTGCATTGTTTCGAGAAGGAAAGAGACTAATTATTTAGATGTTGGTCGTGGGAAGCAGTTGAACTTTTATAAGTATGTGAATTACCACCAAACATTTTAACCATGGATTTGTATTGCTGAGGTAGGGTTTCGACTATTCACGACGTCCGATCATTATTTTACTTTTTTTTCCTCTGATTTCTAAATACATAGTTTCACTTTATTTTGCTTTTAGTAGTGCTTGTACTACTTTTGGCGATCTCATCTGTTCTAATTTATGGAGTGCACTGATTTGCAATAAAATTTTAGTGCAATTAAATGGTTACTATCCCATTTCACTGGTCACAGTTTTTACTGTAGTGAAACCTTTGGTCTATTTGCATAAATATTACTTTTGCTGTGATAGAATCCTTTCTTTTGGGAACTTTGCAAATAACTTTATATAATTTTTAAATGGGAAGCAATATAAAGAATTGTAAGGAGGAACAAAAAAATGTATTTCTAAATCATCAGTACTAATAGATCTGGGCAACATCTAATCACTGATTTAATGTTACTTACTTTAGTGACCTAATCTTTTTTTGCTGCAATTGCAGATGTGGACTCTTTGCTATGTTGTCTTGCCGACTTATGTTTTAGATTGATGGAAGCAAAATACTCGCGCGTATTGTAACCCGCAACAGGTAAACCCTGAGCTCGTAACTTGGCAGCAAATACTAAATCACCATCATCGTATCCTTCCCATCTGCAAAACCAATGATACTAGTACTAACATTCATTGTTTAATAGATGAGATATGGTACTTAGAAGAGAACATATTTTGCTTATCAAAAAAGCTATTCTTGCTCATATTTGGAATAGAACGATGAGTAAAGCAAGTGTATATTTTGTGGGTTAAACCTATGCTGTTTGTTTAGAGTTGGTGAAATGATTCATTTTCTCAAATGACAGATAAGACATTAAATGAGAACATTCCTTCACATTTTCATGCTTTAATTGAAATAAATAACAGGACAAAAATTCCCAAATCCTGGCATTATGAGATAATATACTTTTGTGCTGATAATTTCTCATCAACAATGTCTCATAAATTTTCGATAATTCCCTCACAATATCTAGTAGCAACAAGAAAGCTGACCGAGTCCTGAGAAATTTATATGTCCTCCTGTGAATATACCATCCAATAAAATAAGTAAACGCCGTTAAAAACCATAATATTGTAAGGACAATGTCTGCAAATGGTTAAATTATGAACTTCGAAATACATCATCATGAAAGCTTGTGAGCTATGCTAATTCTAATTTATTTGCCAAGCAAATAAGTTCAGCTATCTTTGGGAACTGTATCATACTCTATCAACCGATAAATTAGTAAGTTTGAAAGATGCGATAGTAAAAGAATTTTGCTACACTTGCTAAAACCACCACAAATTTTTAAAAATTTGAATGATTTGGATTTTTTAAAATTTATGAAATGCTAAACATAACTAATCTAAAAAGCTAAATGCCTTTCTGATTAAGAAATGAATTGATCAGAACGATTTGACGATTTGCTTTACAAATATTTTTCGCGAGATCGATATGCGACTATATCTTGCATGCATCAATGGATGGATATCTTGTACTGAATGACTGCTAATCATAGGAATCCTAACGACTAACCTACGACAGTTTTCCGCTCATCGGAATTGATAATCATCCATGTTAAAGCAAAAAAGAATATAACAGCAATTCGGTAATAATATAATGCTATAAGAAAGCTATGCTGAAAGTTCTAGGAAATTTACATCATTATTACTATTATTATAAATGTCACTGCCATATCTTTTTATTGCTTGTTTTTGCAAAACTTTCGTTAAATTAGAACTGAAAAACAAATGAACCCAATAATTGGGGGGATGAAAAACTTAGTTGAAAATTCAATGTTTGAAGTTGAATTTTGAACTTATAAATTCAAAATAAATTTTCTTTTTCGAACCACATTGCTGGTAAATCCTTTTTCATTTTTCATTTTCCTATTTGGAAAAATGAAAAGATAACCTACACCTATGCATAGTCCAATAGGTCCTGAAAGATAGGATAAGAAAGAAATATAAAGGACGAAAAGCGGAACTGTCACTGGCCATGTTAATTGATCCTGAAAACGTTCACTGAATGTTACTATCAAAATTGTATCTGCAGTATTCTACGGAAATAAGAATATGTTCTAACCACATTCCAAAATTTTGCGACGATTTCAAACGTTTGCTTAAAATGGTGTTAGAATTATTTTAAAAAATAGAGTTTTAGTTTAAATGGAGAAACTAAAGTTCGATTCGAAAATCCGAAACTAAACTTTCAAATTGAAATCCAATTTTTAGGAAGTATGAAAAGTGGTAAAGTTTGTATACTGAAGAAATTACAAAATTTTGGAATTTTCAAAAAATCTTCAGAAGAATTAAATTTTTAATTCTTGTCCACTTAGCTTTAAAATGAAATAGAAGGAAATTTTTGATGATGATCTTTCAATATTCATATTGTTATATATTTGAGAAATTTTTTGGAATGTTTTACCTTACGGAAAGAAATGTTTCTAAACTGAGTCAAAATGATTTTTTACATTTTAAAATTCAGAATTTTAGAAAGATTAGATACTAAGATATCATTCGAGCGAAAGAGAAAAAGACGATGAATCATTATATTCAATATGGTTCTTGTGGAAATATTTGAGATACAAGCAACAAAAAATCCAAACTACTGATAAATTCAGAAATCCAATAATGTCTATAAATAACCAAATTCCATTTCATATTTCTTACTCCTTTTCTCCTATACCCAATCTCATGCCTTGAATTGCATCTGACTCTTCAGTAATTACTTTTAACAAAAGTTTCCATCCATTTTTGTGATGAAAATTTTTGATTTCTTTGAAGAAACGAGTTAAAATAAGTATTTGAACTTCATTTTTTCGAATAAGTTATTTGTTTTTCTTAAAGTTTTAAAAAATTTTACATCATAATAATGAAAGAAAGCAATGAGGAAGAACATTGAACACGTTGACCAGAAATCGATGACACAAAAAAATATGCTTGCCACGTATGAATGTATACCTCCACAACAGACATCGTATTCATCGCTGGAATTTTTTTAAAATTAAATTTGGACGAAATTTTTTGCTGATTTTGAATTTAAAATCTTAATTATTATTCAGAATCCATTTGGTATGATACATCCTCTATGTTATCTATGTAGACAGAACAATCTATAAATTTTTCTTTTTTTTGGAACCATTCCACATAATCCATTTATTGATAAGATTATTGATAGACAGATACCACTTGATTTCTCCACTTATTGAAGTTTTCTAACAGAACTCCAGACCATTCTGTTACATACCCATTTTACAGCAAAAAAGTTGAGGTTAAAGGTCAGGTAGCTACAAGAAATACAATCAGATTTATTATTCCTACCCACCTGTCATCCTCGCTCAGTTCTGGAAGACACATTGGCAATAACAACTGTTCTGTTGAATTCAGAAGTAACGAAATGGTTTTGAATCGACTGGTCGTTTGATATTATGTACTAAGAAAAGCTGCACCGCACGTGCTTAATTGCTTCTCGTAATCATTTCATGGAAAATTTGACAATTTCAAAAAAATTCGGAGCCTTATCTTCAAAATTAGCGTACAGGATCGACACACCCAAAGCATCCACACGTAAATGACCTTAGATATGTGGCATGACATCACGGACTTTTCCTCAGAATAAAGTAGTGGGTCATTTAATGAGTAAAATACAAAACAAATAAATGAAATTTCAAATGTCGTGTGTAACACATCACTTATCAGCGAAGTTCTATCCTATTATCATTAGAATAACGGGACCAGTTGGTGAATTTACCATTAAGCGTATAAGCTACCTCATAATTCACATGTAATGATTCACCCATGTCTAATATTGACAACATTCGCAACACTTCTGGACATACTAAATTCTGAAAACTGAATTCCTTACGAAATAAAATTTTGAAATTGCATTTTTTGCACAAAATCCTCAAGCATTTTAGAATGAACTCCAATTGGTGCATTTCAATGCGATACAGTCTCATCCGAGAAATTATTTAAAAAAGTAACAATAACTTTGTGGTAAAAAAAGATCTCAGGTTAGCAGTGAAAAGTGAATGTCAAAGTGTACAGTGTGCAAAATAAAATATAAGTAATTTTATTACAATGATACATTGAACTGTGATGTGAAAGAAGGAATAAAACAATTATTATGTAGGATCTGAATAAAGTAAAGATAAACAGAATCGTAAAACAACAGAAAATGCAAAAACAAAAAGCTAGACAACCAGCATTTTTTCTTAATTATAAATGGCGACAATATAGCTCAAGAACTCTCCTGCAAGTTAACCAGTCTTTAGGAAAGCGAATTACACATGCCCTAATAAAAAAGGAAAGAAACATAAAATGATTGCAAGAATAAACGCAAAGACAATAACTATTAGGCATTAAACGTTGACGATTTTAATTAGTAGCAAAAGTATGTAAAAGCTTTAAACATGACGAATGAGTAACAAGGAAATTATCGCTCAGAAATGCGAAAATACCAGTTATAACCTTATGTTGTAAACAATAAACTGGGAAAGAAATTAAGAAAAACGAATAAAGGGGATGATGAAATCCATTAAGAACCTCATACACCATAAAAAATGAAAATCATAGTACAAAAGAATAGCAGAGCAGGAAAACTTCTTTTTAAAAAAAACTTTAAAATTTTTTTAGTCATTAAGAACCATATACAGTAATAAAAAAGTTCACTAAGCCAACAGAATAATTCACTCTGCTAAAATTTCGGTATGTCCTGCTGTCAGCAAAGTTAGAATGGTGGCTTTTCCTTGGAAAATCTATCGATGCAGATGCTATTTCCAAATGCCTTTCCTAATCTTAGAGTTGAGTGAAAATTATTCCGTCTGATAGTGCAACACCGAAACCAAATAAGAATTTCGACCATCAAATGATAGTTTTTTCTTGCTAATAAATCGACATAGATTATTAAATGGGAAAAATTCTGCAAAGTTCCAAACTTAATCTATTTCTCTTCGGTTATTGCCACAAAAGTGATAGAATTAAAGCAGCTATCAATCAAATTAATATTAAAATCGCTGACAAACTGCTGATAAAACTATATTATTTAACCTCCTTCAAAAGTGAAACGTGTGGTCCAATGAATTGAGGGAAGCAGTAATTTTAGGGTCGAACGTTTTATAACTTTCATGCATATTGTCGAAAATATTACTCGATATTTTTGATGCCTAGGAAACTGTTGTTTGCAATGTAAACCTTTCAGTTGATTAAAATTTTCTAACATTAATTATATACATATATATATATCCATACATCATTCCAAAATGTTGAAGTACCTGACGTAATTATTCCAAACTGTACTTTTTAAGGTAATTGCATCAATGCATCCTCAAGCATTGTTGATTCAGTGCTCCAAAAAATCAAACTTGAGCCTTCAGATTAGGAACGATCAAATTCTCGTCATATTCAATTCTTTTTGTCCCATTAGTTGGGGATCTCGAATCTACTTTTTCGTCTAAAATTCCAGCCTTTTTATTAGTTTGAAGAAGGGTGACGATGTCGATTCAGGTTAGGATCTTGATTAGTGATCAGATTTTTGCTCTTCAATTCCTTTAGCAGGGATGTTACAAGTGTGTCGAGCTACTCTTACGAGGTGCCAATTTAATTAGTCACTGTTGTTAATAATTCAGAGAAAGTTTCGCAAAAATGGCAGAGCATTAGACATAAGCCTTTTAAAAGCAAAATCTCATCTATTAAACTTGTAATCGTTGTCACTGACTTTATAAATCGTTTTCCAATTAACTTCTCAGTAATCAGTAAAGGTTGACTTCATACCTTGCTTTGAGTTTCCGTCTGCCTGTTCAAGATCACTAATACAAAGATCTGATGCTGAACCGTTTTCATCCACTGCTTCCTGCCTCGTTTTCTTGAATTTTTCTAGCAAAGTTGTGCCATCAGAGAATAAAATGTCACTTATTAAGTAGTTGCCATCCTGCAAATAATTGAAATATCCTGAGAAAATACAAAAGCAACAATAACTTGCTTTAGAATTTCGTTAAAAATAAAAAACGTCTCCGAATTCTGAACTGCAGGACACTCTGTGACTTACAACGTTTCAACAGCTTTCATAAGTGTCTTGTAAAAACTTGCCTTACTGTATTCAACAAGAATAACTTTAACTGGGCCCATTGCTGCACTATTCATTATCATTTCTGTCGACTTTTCATCAAGCAAGGATTCGCTAAGCTTGAGTTGCACTGACAAGCGATGGCATGTTCGCACTAAGAATCCGTCAGAATCACCTGCAACATGACCCAATACTTCACTCTAAAACGGGTCCCTCAACTCTCTAATTTCGTTATATTTTATTTGCTATATCTATCTCAGTACACATATATTTTTTGGAAGTAGGCCTACCAAAGAATTCATGTAATATATGACACTTTGACTCCTGAAAAAGTCAATGTACTACAGTCAAACTTTTCGTTTAATGCACTCTCAAAATAGACTCAGTAATAAGAAACCTTGCAAAAAGCTTCCAAGAAAAACTCCGTGGCAATTAACTAAAATAAAGTATCTAAGTTTTGCAGGAACAATGGAGCAAAGAAATTCCAAGTTAGATGAAACAATGAAATTTAATACAAAAATTTCAAAGAAATAACTTACATAATTCACTAATGCCAGAAAACTGAATGGGCATTTCTTCAATAGAAATACCTTCATCAACCAATAAATACTTCTTTGATGTCGCATTATTCTTTGAGGAGATCAACACTGCACGTTTATATTCGTTGTTCAAAGAAATTAAAGTGGTAGGTGCATCAGTTTCAAGAGGAACTGTTTTAATGTTTGCAAGTGCCTGAGGTTAATGTCTGAAGTTAAAAAGATAGAAAACTTGAAGCATGTAAATTGCTTCAAATTTCAAGAATAGTAAAATATATTTCAACAATTAAATATTGGTAGGATAAATAATGCGATAAAAAGAAAAAAGATTCAGACAACTCGCAATAGAAGAAGTTTTCAATCAGACAACTCACAATAGAAGCAGTTTTCAGAACATTAGCACATAACTGTATTAGGTTAAGAAAGTTTGAATAAAACTAGTATATGAATCGAAAGACCATTTCAACGATCTATATAACCATACCTTCTTCATTCTGTTATATTGTTCAGCAAAAACATATGGCCGTGCACGAATGATCTGCCCATCGATTTCTGTGATGAACATTTCGTATTCATGTTTCCCGCCTGATAATAAATTCTTCACCGGATAGTCTCTCCAAATATCCTGCATTTCTGCATAACCTTTTGCAATTAACCAACTCGCTAGATCAACTTTGTTCTTCATGCTATTTGCTTCATCAGTTCCGAGACCATCCTCGTCAATCAACTGATTCTTGAGTACCATAATCTATTATCACTTCTATTAGTATTCAAAAAATGAAATTTTGGAAACGAAGTATTTAAATAATAGTGATAACATATAAAAGTGATAACAAAACACGTTTGTCAGTTATCATCCTTTGGAAAGGGATAAAGCTGACATACTGAAATATGCCCTAGTGTGCTTTCCTCCCGGGTGAATAACTAACCCTAATAGGATAAACTCCATCCACACTCGGACTACCAACAGCAGCTTCAAATGAAGTGGAAGGAGCTAATAAATTATCGATGCGTTTCTGTACTTCTTCAGGCCACTCTTCCTTATGAGTTAAAGGTTGAACACCATCAATTCGGCATCGAAAACCTTGTCGAGGAGTATAAAGTATTATCTGAAAAAAAAAATAGATAAACATATGGATAGACATAAAACTGCTGAAAGCATCAAAGAACACATCTTACTAAATAAAAGGTCATAGTAAATGAATTCAAAAACATGTAATAAAATAAAACATTTATTATATCACTGATCTAACACCAGTCTCAAAATTCAAAGCAGACAATACGCAGAAACCGCATCCTTTCCTCTTTTCTCATCAAAAGCACAAGAAAAAAGCGCTCTCTAAAAGTGTTAGATTGATATAAAATGCAATGTAGTTTTTATTGTTGAACTCTACTATTCCATACTGGATGCATTATTATATAAATGTGGTTAACATTTTAATACTCCTTCATTGCTTTATGCTCCACTTGATAAAGCCATGCTTAATGTAACCCAAAATTCAACTTATAAGTATGTTAAAGGATTAAAAAACTAAATATAATTAAACAAATTTACATCAGGCTGCTGATCCCTATCCAGCGCGAATAATTCTTCCTTCGTGCAGAGGCTTTCATTACCATAGTCAACATAACGCACACGATATACTTCATTACTATCGTTAATTTCCGTGGCAATGATTTCTGCCCGATATGGTGATTCCTCGAAGTACGAAATAACAACATCGCCAATTTGTGGTGCTTCTATCGTTTTTTTGCTATCTACATATCCATCGTTTAACTGAAAATTCAGGAAGAAACCATTTCACAACTTAATTTCCTTCTATTCACACGAGATACGGCAGTACGGTATCTTTTCCCCTTCTCATTGTTCATTATGCTGACTGAGTCCACAAATTGTTGGCTGGAAGTTCCACTACCCAAACTGGCTCATATCACCTACATTTTGTGTTAACTGCAGTAGTTCTTAATTAACGGACTGTGGAAGTATTTAACTTTGCTTGGTTAAGAACATCTAGGTAGTGGTTAAAGTCCATGAGAAAAATTAGGAAAAGTTAGAAAACAGTGACTCGTCTTCCAGTATAAACAAGCAATACAAAACCAGAGGAGAGAATCTTACCGTGTGAGAACTTCAACTCTTAAATTCCTAGATATTCAAAATTAAATATTTGCTCCTAAACACTTATATTTAAGTTTGAACTCACTTGTTCAAGTTGCGAAAGGCTATCTGATAATTGAACAGTAAAAATATGATTAACATGATCACATTCGTCGGATCGAAGAACATCCAATGTTTCATAAAGCGACAGCGATGGTCCGATACCCCATTTGAATGGAATAGCAAAACCTCTAAAACCCTCTTTATTATATCAAAAAACGCATTCAGTAACAAATTTAAATGCCGATAACTTCTAGAAATTTAAAGAACATCATTTCTGAAAATGCACCTTGAGATCAAGATATCGGAAACGAAATGTCCATTACTGAGCATAATCGTTACTTCATAGATACCTTTGACTGATTGTTGCAAGAAACATATCAGCAGCTTCTGATCAGCGGTCAATTCTGAGAATACCTTTCGAGCTTCCAGATCGAATGTATGCTGAAAAATAAGTTTAAGCCATCTGTATCAGAAATTTTTTGAAAAACAGAAAACTACAAATGCAAATTCCTCGAGATGAAAGGATTGATTTTACAAAATTATCCAAAGTGAGCTTCATTTTGTCCTATGATATCCCGGAATCTCACCTCATATAATACCCACTAGGTCTTCTTATAGAATGTAGAATTCCATAACGTTAGCTTCAAAGTATTTCCATTTAAGTCATAAATCCATAAAGCTGTATATGGATTGTACAGTATGACTTCGGTCAATTAACTTTTTTTTCCAATAAAGACAGCATCTTTTTAGATTACATAAAGCTTTTCTAATACATCCAATTGGAAATAACTCTGAATTGCACGAACCTTTCCAGTTTAGATTTCAAGGGAAGACGTGAACGGATTTCTACAATTGCTTGAAACTCGATGGCATTTATTAGAATAAAAGTAAAAAGTGAACATGCTTTGAATTGTCTTAAAAATGAATAAGGATATGCTAAGTAATTACAATATTAGTTTTTCTGAAAGCGTAATATTGCTTAAAAACAAAAAAGTAATTTTACAAATACTACCGAAATTTCAGCAAACTACTGATAAGACATGATTACTTCAAGAAACGACCAAACTGACCATGGAAGTTATTGGCATGACACCGTATAACCGACAATGAAAAGCCATTCTCCTTGATGTATAGAATTGCTCAGGAAGAGAATTATTGATAACGTAAAGCACTGATGTATCCATATCTTCGACGTTACCATAATCAACGAACAGGATTCTTCTCCTTCAAAGCAAATAATTTTTAGCTCAATTCGCCTCATTTGTTTATAGTTTATTGAGAATAAAAGAAGCAATAAAACAGAGAAACACAAAATTCAAAGAAAGAAATCGCTTAGAAACTCCATAGTAATTTTATTAAAAACCGAATTTCATTAGCGGTCTCTTTACTATGAAACAAGGAATTGCATATGCAGAAGTGCCACATCTAAGTGTTAAAAATTTCTTGTTAGGCAATGGATAAAATATACTGATAGCACAAAAAAGTAAAGTATCTTAAAAATAACACTCCAGATTATGTCATATGAATTTCTTTTTATTAGCAAATAGAGTTTGCTTCAAGGTTTGAAAACATACTTATTACTATTTACTTCACCAATGATTTCTGCTCGGTAATAATCTCCCATAAAAGGAGCAATACAAGCTTGAGAAATTTCAAACGAAGACAACTTTGGAAGGTTGGCTGGCAATTGCGCATTCGACAACACCAAATGCTCAATGTTATTTTTGTCACGATCCAATTGCACGAAAAATGATAACGGATCAGCTTTCGTCTAAACACGTGCATTATATAACTGAAGAATGTCTTGAAATATCATGTCAAAACTTTGACTACAACTGAAAACCAAAAGAAAGAGTGTGGTGAAAATGATTAGAACTGTCAGTTTTTTCGAAGATAGATCAAAATACTCTTGATGCCTTCAAACAGAAAAACTAGATTTCAACAAACACAATGTGTAACTGATGTTCCAAATTAAGTGATAAGTAACAATGAATTGTGAATTTAAAAAAATTTATAAAATCATAAAACTACATAAAATCTCACCAAGTCGTCTGAGCATAGACCACCAATCGTATCACCAAATTTGATTCCCTCAAGGCTTGATGATTCTATACGACTGAGTGTGAACGATGAAAACTGTACATTATGTTGTTCAGTTGGTTTCACCTTAATAGATTTTTCGCAATATTTTTGAAAAAAAAAAAATTTGCGACAATGAAAGCTATCATTAATGAGAAATTTCCAAATCAAGAGGTCTTGAATAAATTATTTTGCCGAAAAACAAAAGGAAATTCACAAAGTAAGAGTGCTCAATCAAGCAAAAACAGAAAAAAAACTAGAACTTAGAACTATCAGTTAAAAAGACGAACCATTCATAGAAGAAAATTTTCCAAAGAATATCGTAAAGGCAGAACGGTTTTTCTTAAGAATCAAATAATGAAAAAGGAATAAAAATTTAGCAGTTATTAACCACTGTTACTAAAATTTATGATATTAGTTCGCAAGCTATATCTACTTCTTAAATATAGAAATAAAGACACCATTTAAAATATAAAAGAACCTCATTTCTTGTTCGCCACACTCTGAACAATCTAGAATTTTAAATGTGTAATAGTTTTCTTTCAAACCTTAGCAACATATGCTCTATTACCTCTATATCACGCAATGTTTCTATTTGACAACGCACCTGCCGTTGTCGGGTTTAATTAGAAGACATAACAAAAAAGATTAGAAAAAAAAAAAAGAAGGAAAAATATAGAAAGAGAATGCGAGAAAGATGGAATCAGCATATGATAACGGGAATAAAAATTTGTAGAAATAATGGAACATTATAAGAAAAAGAGCCACTGATGATGTAGAACTTTCTAACGTAACTATATTAAACATATAGTTAAACCAAAGAGAACGTTTGCGCAAATTGAAAACTACTGTATAAAAATGCTTGTAATGTTTTAAGGATGATTTATTAACTGAATTACCCCATAATTTGAAAGATCTTCATTCGACGTAGTTTTGGTTTCATCGACTCCTCCAGTATCAACCTCCAAATTTGGTGGCAGTGAAAGGCCAAATGTATTTATCGGGCAATTTCCAGGAAGCTCAATCGATTCAATACACTGAAATCATTTGGGAATTTAAATATTTGAAGCCAATAGAGCTAAGTGTAGAAGTTATTAAAATAGAAAACGAATAAAATAATGGGATTATAGAAAAGACGAGAAATCAAAGAATGCATATATATATATATATATATATATATATATATATATATATATATATATATATATATATATATACTACT